CGTACTTCTTTTGAAATGAACCAGGCTTTGCCGGGACACTACACGGGGATCAACTGTAGCTCAATCGTCATCCTCCATTGCTCTGCTGGCTTTCACAGGGGCTCTGCCGGCATTTACTGGGGCTCTGTGGCATTCACCAGGGCTCTACCATAGCTCTTACTGGCTATATAATACCCCGGATCATCCCCAGTTTGAGTCAGCAGAGCTACAGTGCTTCCCTGGTGTAACCCGGTCGTTCCCGGATGGCTAAGGATGAAGCCAGCAAAGCTACACCTTCCCGTATCAGCCTGGTGATATTATAATGAATTATTTTATTCCATCCGGGGTTGAATGCCTGATGTTCCCGGATCATCCCGGACGTTGCAGGCAGAGTTACAGATGTACCCTGGTTGTTCCCGAATCATCCCTGGACGTCTACCAGGGCTCCGCCGGGTTTTTGAGACCATATCTTAAAGCTTCCTCGTCCCTGGATTTATTACAACCAGCTAAAGCGTCACTTTCAGTAACATTATCAGATTTCTAACCGTCATCTATAGCCCTACCTTCAATATCACCATACAATTTCTCACAGGCACTTAAAATTATTTAAAATAAAGTGTGATCATTACTGGCCTTGTACACTTAGAACTGTTTCCCTTTTAAAAAAAATGATAATTTCATGAGTGGAGTTAACTGCGAAACAGTTCTAAGTAATTAAGTTTTCTTTCAAAATCAAAGCATCTACTCTGAAACTAATGAATTTCTTATGTGATATTATTTAATAATATACAATAAAAGGTTAAGCTGCCAAAATTATTTAGATCTCATTTATTTTAATGCAGTTTGAGCTGTTTTTATTTAATCTTGTAGATTTTATACTCAATGAACCGAAAAGGTTCTAACTGCCATTTGCAGTTAGAACCTTTTCGCTTTTTAAAAAAAAAGTTAATTTCACTTAGAACCTTTGGACAACTTTTCATTTCACCCTGTTATAAGTAAACTAAATCTAATATATTTTGACATAAGATGTATCTGGTTGTTTATGTTACAAATATATAAAAAAAGTGAATTTTGTAAAAAAAAGTGAGTTAGAACCTTTTCGCTTTCACCCCTCGAGATATGAATTTCTATATTTCGAGTATCAGAAAAGTATTATTCACAACCACATATTCAAATTACATAATTCTTTTGTCAAGGGGAGTTTAATAATAATAATAATAAAAGAAAAAAAAATGGTCGAGTATGAAAAAAGTAAGAGTTCAACATGGCGAGAGCTGTCTGCTATATAATTTGCTCTACAAAGTATCGTATTGTTTATTTTTAGTAAATGAGTCCGATGGTGTACCGACAATCAAAACTGTGTTAGGAAGCTTGAAGCCAAAGTTACATTCCCTTGTTGTTAACATTTTTTTATTTTTGTACTTTATTAAAAGGTATACGTTCACATATAGAGAGGGTTCAAATGGTCCAAAATCAGTTTGCAGATCAAATAAGTAACTTTTTATGACGAACAGATTTTTTCAATGTTTTGGATGATATGACGGGACTTTTCTCGGTTTACCGATTTGTAATCATTACAATTGTAAAGTTAAAAGATTTAATTCTTTGTTCTGGGTCCCGGGAACAGTCGATGCCATTTTAGTTAATTGGTCAGGGGAAAATTACTGGATGGTTACGGAGTTTTTAATTGTACCTCATTTGCCATCAGCACCGTTCTGGCAAATGTTGTTTAGTAATAGCAGTATACCCAAAATATACATTCTTGATATTTTGAGTTTACCACAAGACAAGATATTTTGGTACAATATTTGAGTAGATAAAATTTTTTTTTTTTGGATCTGACAAATTCAGCTAACCGATTATATTGTTCTCTTTAAATATTGACAGTTTTGTTTAAGTGCCTGTTTATAATATAAGTTGTTGAATCATTTATGTGAAATCATATTACAGCCAAAAACGTGCACAGTTACTACCCTTACATTATCATATAATAATGGATTATACATAGAGTAAGTTCGTTTATTTTTAAAAAAACGATGACGAGATTTATTAAATTATCATTTTGTGTGGTACGCCAGCCGATTGGCAGTGGCAATCGCCGATTGGCGAGAGTTATTTATTTAGAAATTTATGTGGTACGCCAGCCGATTGGCAGTGGCAAGCGCCGATTGGCGAGAGTTATTTATTTATAATTTTGTGTGGTACGCCAGCCGATTGGCAGTGGCAAGCGCCGATTGGCGAGAGTTATTTATTTATATTTTTTTGTGGTGCGCCAGCCGATTGGCAGTGGCAAGCGCCGATTGGCGTATAATTTTGTGTGGTACGCCAGCCGATGGGCAGTGGCAAGCGCCGATTTGCGAGAGTTATTAAATTTAAAATGATGTGGTACGTCAGTCGATAGGCAGTGGCAAGCGCTGTTGTGCGAGATTTTCTTTATTTTAAGATTTACGCTTTTATTGTTTCATAGGTTTTATTTTCTATTTCACTTGCTGAATTTAAGTGGTCATAAAAACGGTTTGACTGTGGTTGAATTTCCGCTGTGAAGGCAGATTGTAATATGTTTTATTACGAATAACGAATCGACTTGAAATAAGCGTGATGAACGGTTTTATTTCATACGGACACTGTTTTCAATTATTTTTATGTTTTTCGTTTATATTTAGTTATATTTTGACTGCTCATATTTTTTAAAATTTTGAAAATTTATTGGAATACATTTTATATAGATTTGATAGCTTCAGCGTTGTATAGTAATTTGATAAATTACATGAATATGGAGTTGTCCCTGTCTGCCAGCGTTCCGAGAGTTGTTTTAAAGTCTCATGTTGTCAATACTAGCAAAAAGTACCAACGACCATTCAATACCTTGTGTCAAACTTAATTCTTTACCAGCTTTCAACACCGATTTTTCGCTGATGTTTGTAAAACTTGAAAACATTTTTAGTATCATTGCTTAATTTATATCTTTAATGTGATCAAATTAACGATTATTCTAATGAGTTCATATTTCGTTTTCTCACTTACAGTAAATATAGACAGTATTATAAATTAATATACACAGACTACGAGATCAAGAGAGATAATTCTGGATATGTTTTCCTCAGTTGGATTAGATAAATCTCATCGTGGATTACATAGTTTAAGGCGTAGTGACATTATGTTAAATATAATTTAAACAAACGATTATCAGTTACAAAGAATCTGGGCGTATTAGAAATCAAATATGAAATACATATTATATTGATATTGATTAATATTAAATATACAACATTGAACAATTTTTTGATATTATAAAGAGTTTCATTGCATCCGTTCTTTGTTTTTAGTTTAAACATATTTATTCCCGAATGTATATATAATGTACATACAAATATATAACAAACAAAACACAATGGAAAGGGATGAGAATGAAAGACAAGTCTTATAGAATTCTTCTCCTTTGGCGAACTATATGGTTTGTCTTAAATAAGTTTATAATTAGTATATACTAGACAAGGGAATAAGTATTAATTATACACACATCTAAATATATACATGTATTTATATATAAACTTTTATAGAATAGATTAACTACAAGTAGATGTCTAAAATGTAAGAATATATATAAAAGAAGAAAACAAAATAGTAGAAAAGAGAAGAAAAAGGGTGAGAGAGGATTTAGTCTCAATTAGAATGGATCTAAGTAAATCTTTTCGTTTTTTCTATATAATTTTGTACATTTGTAAATATAATAACGTTGTCCTGGTATGTAAGAGATGGGTCACCATAGAGAAGTTTATGAAGGTTTATGCTGAAGTCTTGCAAGTTAAGAAGGAGTGTTCTGCGGACGGCATCGTATGCACAACACTCGAAAAAGAAATGTTGGGTAGTTTCAAATTGCCCACAATTACACAAAGGGGTAAGAGAAATGTTTTTTCAAAAACAGGTGGTGATTAAATGCGCTCCAGTTCGTTCGAAGCCGAGTGTGAAGGACCTGCAGTTTACGACTACCTGTATAAAAGTATCTTGGTGTATGTTTTCTGTCCTTGTTTAAGAAAGTTTTAAATGAAGATATTGTAGGGCTGTTTCGTATTATAACAGGCAAGTTGTTCTAATCACGAATAACTGATGGCAAGAAAGAATTGTGGTACAGAGTAGTCCTTGATGTAATTCCTCTGATATCTTCAGAGTTTCGTAAGCTGTATCGGGATTGATCTGGATTTGGTATTAATGATGAGAGATAATCTGGAGTTTTGTTCGACTGCATATTGTGAAACATAATTAGTTTATGTTTATATCTTCTTTCGGATAACGATTCCCAATTAATTTCTTTCTGCAAAGTTTCTAGTGAGATAAGCTTGGTTGCACCAGTTGCAATGCGTGCACATTCATTTTGAATCTTATCAAGCTGTTCGAGTTCATATTGGGTACAATTACACCAAATTACATCACCGTATTCCAAAATAGGTCTAATGAATGCTATATAGATAATTTCCAAAGATTTACGATCCAGAGAGAATTTCAGTTTACGCATTATATTAACCCTTTTCCAAGCTTTATCAGTTATGTATTCAATATGTTTGTGCCATGTGCAGTCAGAAGAAAGAAAGATGCCTAAATGTTTGTGTTCAGAAACTTCTGGAATTTGTTGGTTAAACATATGCAATGCAGGGTGATGCTGACGATTTCGCTTTCTGATTACAAGTAGGGATTCCGATTTTGAAGGATTGAAGGTGACTAGCCACCTTTCTGCCCATAAAAGAGATTTTTTGGATGTCAGACTAAAGAAATATGGCTGCTGTATTAGGATGTTTAACTATAACATAAAGACTGGTATCATCAGCAAAAGGTTTATGAAAGATTCAATTTCATTAACAATATCATTTATAAAGATCAAAAATAATAGGGGACCAAGTATAGAGCCTTGAGGGACTCCTGCTTTGACAAAAGCCCATGATGAGTAGGCGCCAGGTAGTATGACCCTTTGTTTTCTATCAGTAAGGTAACTATTGAACCAAGATAACAAAGATCCACATATACCTGCGTGCTTTAGTTTCGAAAGTAGGCCTTTATGCCAAACCTTGTCAAACGCTTTACTGATATCAAAGAAAACCACACGAACTTCGAGGCCATTGTCAAGTGATCTACAAAGGGTATCATAAATGAAAGCAAGCTGATTAACTGTAGAATCACCCGGGATAAAACCAGACTGAGCAGTAGACAGAAAATTATTTACTTTGAGAAAGTTAAAGATGTGTTTTAATACAAGACGTTCAAAAACTTTTTCTGTGGTGTTCAAAAGTGATATAGGTCTATAGTTATTTGGGAGAGATGTATCGCCCTTTTTGTGAACTGCAGTGACATTCGCCTCTTTCCATGTGATTGGAACTTTACAACATCTTAGAGAAGCATTGAATAAGTCACACAAGGGTGAAGATAGTTCATGAGAAGCCTCGCGTAAAATTCTATTACTTATACCATCTGGACCTACTGCTTTGTCAACTTGTAACGAAAGAAGAACATCTTTTACTTCATGAGGGCTAAGCACAATATCATTGAGACAGGAAAGTGGTGAACTAAGGTAAAGTGGATCTCTGTTCTCATCGTTAATAGACATTTGTTCTACGAAGAAGTTATTCAGAAGATTTGCCTTATCGTTATTTGAGTAAACAATATTTCTGTTTAAGGGATCTGTCAGTGGTGGAATGCTACTATTATTTGTTGATGAAATAAAAGATTTCAGAGTCTTCCACCAGTCTTTAGACGAAAGTGATTCATTTTTCAATTTATTAGAGAGTTTACAAAAATAGTTTGACTTGGCTTCCCGTATCAATAATATTGTTTCATTACGAATAGATTTAAACCTTTGCCAGTAATATTGTGAATTTGTCATTCTAGCTTTTTTATACAGACGTTTTCGTTTACGGATATTAACTCTGATTGAATTTGTCATCCATGGAACATCTAATGGTCTTACTTTAATCAATTTGTTAGGGATGTTATTTTTAGCAATTGTTTGTATCTGATTGATTACGTTATTCGCATATATGTTAACATCTGCATCAAAGCAGTTTTCCCATGTATAGGTATTTATATCTTCACGTAAAGCTTCGTAGTCAGCATGTTCATATTCCCAAACAATGCGGTCAAAACACATTTGTCGCGGTTTACGGAATTTCAGAAAACCAAATATAGGAACGTGATACCTTAGTTCTTGTTCTAGAAAGTGATCACCAACACCAGAATGAATAACATTGCTTTTGTTTGAAACTAATATAAGGTCGATCAAAGAATTTGAATGTTCAGTGTAATGTGTTGGTTCATCAATTAGTTGTTCTAGATTGAACTGTTGAGTGATGGATGTAATTTTGCGGTTAGATGAATAACAGTTTACATTTAGATTGAAATCACCCGTAATGATGATGTCAGGTATATTAGTGTCAATGGCTAGACCAATAGAATCTTCAATTAGATTGTTGTATATGACATCTGAGTTAGGCGGTCGATAGAAAATACTAAATAGAATATGACGATTGTTACAAAGAATCAACTCGATCCAAATACATTCTAACCTGTTTAATTCTAGATCTAGTCTACGTTTGTAGTGTATATTGTCTTTTATGTACAAAATAACACCACCGTGAGCATCCCCAATGCGATCTTTTCGTTCAGGGGAATGATACGAGGAAAGTAATAAGTCTTAATTCTGTTGATATAGAACTTTTCAGCCAAGTTTCGGAGAAAGCAAGAATATCAAAATTGCAGAGTTCTGAAAAAAGGATATCGAGTTTATGTTCAATACTCTGAACATTTAAATGTACGAAAGAAAGATTATTTTGAATATGATTAATTTCCGATGGAGTAGAGGTCATTGATGAGACTGAGGAAGTAGCTGAGATTGGACCAGGATTCGGATGAATGTCTCCAGATACATGCAAGAGAATTGCTAGCCAGGAATAATACACCAATACAAAGAGCAAAGTTAAAGTATTACTGGTAAATTGTATGTTATCATAAACTCTTGTGGTGAATGTCATTACCTTTTTTGAAGAGAATCTGACGATTAACAGTTTATTTGAGGATAGCCAATAATGCATCGAAAACACAAACAATGGGATACTACAAATAAATACCAAAAGCAAAATATGAAAAGTGATTGGAAAATGAAGTGACCTATATATTTTGTATGATTTAATGAAGGCTTCGCAAGTGTTTCGTTTCATATAAGACTTATGAGATGGCTATTATGGCGAGTAAGAACTTTTGCAAAGCCAACATTGACAACTTGTATGTACAAGGGACAGAAAAGCATACGTATGCAGAGTGATGGACAACTAAAAAGAAATGTGGATATGAGACTGATAAGAAACATAGAGTTAGGAAAACAAAAGAAAAAGAAAGTACTAGTATCATTAGTAATTCTTTGTTTTTGAATTCGATATACGGCAATGCAGATAACAAATCCTAAATGTGAATTTATGTATTTGTTGTTCTTTCTTCCTTCGATTGCCTTTATTATGGGATAAATAATTTATTTACGTTTGAGCGTAGCGAATTAGGAAATAAATATATTTATCCTAGATTAAGGTAATCGAAGTTTTACTGTATTGAAAATCACGATTTTCTTGTGCGTCAGTAATATATAATAAAGTCGGATAGATGTGTATATCATTCGAGGTTTTCTGCATTGCTACACACGTTTATTTTACTCTATCGTGCACTGATACCCTCCCACCCTCCCGAATAGTTCACGCAGTCATAGTTAATATGTACAGTTACAATGATTTTTCTTGGTTCATTTTTAATTTTGATAAATCGTTTTAATCGTTTAAATCGACACGCTAATTAAAAAGGACAAGCATATTCTTACAACTGCAGAATAATTTTGCAAGGTTTATAATTGATTTTTAAATACATAAATGTAAATGAAGTATGGTATTATAAAGATGCATTTTTAGATTAATTCAGTCAAGTTTTTTACGTTTTGGTTGCGATTTGAATTTAACTAAAAATATTGTTAATTACTTAAGTTTATATTTTTCAGATTTTGTTACAAGAACAAGATGTACTACTTTCCCAGGATGTTCGTTATTTTGGAGAACGGTTCTTTAGTTAGTGAAATACGATACCTTGAACTTTTATGATTTCAATTTTTATGGTCTGTATATAAGAAGAGATTCCATATTTTATACGTTTTTGTAAATGTTCTGAACTTATAGGTGGAAAGCGTGCAGTTAATGAGCGTACACATTCGGCTTTTAATTACATTTTACATAGTAAGTGGGTTATTTTTATGGATTTTCTCATTAAATTATGTCAGAGCACTTACGGAATGTGGCTGGTCTTGAGTTTTGGTTTCCTACTACGTCCCCCTCCCACGATGGAGTAGGGTTGCGCAGCCGACTCGCAGCATACTGACAGGGAAAGTACGTTCATAACTGTGTGTTTTCCATGTTAATGTTCATAATAAAGATATGAGATTATTGTAAAGAAAGTCCTTTTAGATTACATAGATTTATGAAACGTTGAGATGTTAATGTCATGTATGCTGTTTCTAAGAACATGTATTAGTAATGTTCATATACAGTACGGCAATGCAGATAACAAATCCTAAATGTGAATTTATGTATTTGTTGTTCTTTCTTCCTTCGATTGCCTTTATTATGGGATAAATAATTTATTTACGTTTGAGCGTCTAGCGAATTAGGAAATAAGTCAAAGTTTTAAATATGGCACAGCAAACGTCGATAGAATTAAGAATAACAAAGTTATGTCCCTTTTATAATGTACCCCATTTGCAAGTAAAAAATGTCGGACATTTTGTTTCCTTTTTGATTGGGTTTGTACTTGTATTTTTCTACATATGCATAATATGTGCAACAAATAATTGCTTTAAAACTGTTCTATTAAAGCAAGGAATATTGTTTGTTTGCAAATTAAAAGTTTAAAGAGGTCAAGTGAATATATACAGAACAAACAAGTGACCTAATTTAAGAAAGACTGAACATGGGATGACGCCCTGTAAATTGTAATCTGATAATGTAATTGCATGTGTTTTACATATCTATTTTCCATGAATGTCAAATCCCTCGCAACGACGTAGACATGTCAGCGCTTCTAAATCGCAAGAAGATAAAGGAGTTTAAAAAGAGGATAAAGAATAATATCCTTATGTAAATTATTAGACAAAGCCTATAAATTGTTAAACATGATGAACGACGAAGTTGTTTAAAATAATCGTTCATTTTTGTTTTAAATTTTCCGTTTTAAAAGTGCCCTTCAGTATTTTATGCACTGCCTCCGTTTATTGTGGTTCCCTGTCCTGTTATGGTCCCCATTGAAATGCACAGCGGCAGGGGACCAGTCTACGCATCTGTTTTCAATCAGAATTCCTCAGCTTTTATTGTTATCTTGAAAGTCAAAAAGTTGTGATTTGCTATTAACGGAATACACCGCCGTTTATAATTGCATTATGGCCCCAAACAAAAAATGATACTGAAAATTTCAATGATACTAAGGTATTGAAATTAGAATTCTATATATATTTTTTTCTTTATTTTTCTTTTTAAATATACACATGTAGTCTATAGCCGGGCAAGCCAAAGGTTCCCGGCCCCAGGCGTTGACTTCCCCGTTAAAAATGTTAAAAACCTTCTTGTGAGGGTCTCAGACCAGGGTATTCATTATTAACTGATTGATGATCCAAACCATCGGTCAAAATGTTGTTAAAATCAGTTGTATTTTCAGCCTGTATATTAAAATATCACCCTTGGCAAAGTTGGTTGTTTTCTTTTGAACATCTGTTGCCTCAGATAAAAATGAAAACCCTGCCAGACAGTGTTTGCATACTCCACTGTGGGGCAGACTAGAGCTTTGTAGGCCTATTCTGTGGTGGAAGTAGAGGCGCAAGAAGCTGATGGTATGGTAAGCTTTGTTGCAGATGTTGTAAATGTATATGTTGGCCCCAGTCCAGGTTGTTATTCAGGGTGCATCTGACGTACTTAGCTGATGTGACGTGCTCTAGAGTATGGCCATGAAGAGTGTAGTTGTGGGAGATGGGGCATTTCTTCTGGGAGATGTTGAGGATTTGGCATTTGTCTGGGTGTAAAGGTTTGTTTCTTGCAGACTGGGGAGACATTGGCTTTCTTCCAGTCATTAGGGATGGTGCTAGTTTCTTGTGATAGAGTTTACATGGTGGTGAGTATGGGAGCGATGTCAATTGCCAAATCTTTGAGGATGCTAGGGCTTGTGGTGTCGGGTCTTGCAGCTTTATGCGGGTTCAATGCGAGAAGGAGTTTTCTGATTCCCCGAGTGGTGATGGATATCTCAGGGGCTACTGGATGGGTTGACTGTGGATTGATGTAGTTCCCCTTCTTGAAGTCATCAGCAGTGACCGTGATGTTGTCGGTGAATACAGATTGGAACTGCCGGTTTAGTATGTTTTGCTTCGGAGTGGAGATGTCCATGTTTTTTTGTCCAGTAATTGTTTGATTGTCTTTCTGCTTGTGTTTGATGAAGGTCCAGAAACGTTTATGACTGCTGTGTATGTAAGGAAAGAAAGCAAATTAGTCTTAAGTTGCTGTGAATAACCTAACATGGCGTGATGTTCAGGCGAGAAATGTCACATATTCTTCTTTGGGGAATCCCGGATAGTAACCAGACCATTGTGAATCATTATCTTATCGAAAAGGGACAACCCATTATAATTATTACAATGTATTATGAATATTGTTATATATCAGTCTTATATGTTATTTATAATCATTGAAGGGACTATTTTTCCAGACAATAAAAAATATGTGATTCAGGGAATACAGCAAGGACTTAACAATGGTATTATTACTGGGTAACTTTATCCCAAAGTATTTACAAATAATTAAGTGCTTATATGCATGATATTTTACTTTTTAAAGCAATTAATGTATCTAATATGGTAATAAAGGAAGAATTGAAATTTATAGGCCTAATGTGGCAGTATTTTTGTGCATGTGCACAAGGATGGAAGCCGCAATGTTTTCGAGGTCACGTTTTGACAACACACTAGTGACAGTGATTAAAAATAAAATAATTTTGTAGCTGAATTGCTATTGCGGAACTGACACTTAAATTTTGTCTAGTTCACGCATCTGATACCAATTTTGAAAGAACACAAAAATTAAGCATTTATATGAAAAATACAGGTACTGGAACTTCTGGCATGCCAGTAACTTGGTTGTAATTAATGATCAAACTGATGTCCAGCCCAACATACATTTAGGTGAACCAGACCTGTGCATTCCTTATTTTGACATCAACAGGTTTCATCTGACTACCATAAGTACTCTTTCTTAAAACCCCATATCTTTGTACTGTGGAATAAACTCCCTGGTATCATTACCACCCTGCCCAACTTAGGTCAGTTACAGGGTCCCTATATCGAGAGCCCTGAGGGGCTGTTGTCTGGTTGCAATAATAATCAGGCTCCAAGTGTTTTAATTATCTTTTGTTTGACTCTCTATGTATATATAACATTTTAACTGTGCCAGGAATGGTACAGTTTTCAAACTTGGCATCTCATGTGCAAAAGACCTCTGTGTTGCTTGCTTGCTTTACTAAGTGGAAAGACAAAAAAATATGTAAAAATGTTTGTGATCTTTTTTCAAATTTTGCATGATTTGCATGAAAAACACATATAGTTATGTGTATACATGTCTATAGAATTATAGATAGTTTTGTCTATTCATTTTAATTTATAGAGTGTGTATTTTAATAGATAATCAGAGATAAAAAATTCCACCTGTCTGCTGGTAATTAGATGTAGAATTTAAGAGAACTTGATGCAGGACAAGTACAAAAATGTTACCTGCACATTGGATTTACAACCTACTCATCCCATGCGCCCGCAGGACGAGTGACTCTGATTAATGCCTGATAATGTTAATAAAAAGATTTCCTAAAGCTGATCAAATATCTGTTGCTTGTATTTAAATTAAAGTTAATAATGAAAATAATAAAATTTTTACTCTAAATTTTGAAAAAAACTTCTTTTTTGATGTTGGCACACATCCCCCATTTTCATGGGCCCACATCATTTTCCTATCAAAGAGAAAAAGAAACACTGCAATATAATTAATATTCTCCTTCCCTTTAGTTTGATTCATCCTGTTGTATGACAACTGACTTCTTTTTTCAACTTTTCTTGTATGCTTTTTTTCCAGAATGAAGAAATTGTAAAAGAAAGTGAGTAATTCATTTGACCTTGACCTTCATAAACATGGAGTTGACGGTTGAACAGCTGGCATCGAGGTACGAGAGACTGAGAAATGAGGATGTGTACAAGGACGTTACCCTGACGTCACATGACAGTGTCGTTTCAGCTCACAAATGTATTTTATCCATTGGTAGCGAATTCTTCCACTTGTTGTTTAGGCAGGCAGAGAGGAAGAGGGACATGTTTCACAGGTTTGTTTTATATCAGTTACTACACAATGGATGATACATATATTTAATAGTTGTGAAGCTGAACACGTTTTTATGGTCTAATCTGGAGAAATTCTTCAAAATATGATTGTTATTTAAAGTGTATAAAGCTATAGATCTGATGAAAAAATTATTGTTTGAATTTTAATAAAAGTATACTTCCAAAATGCTTGTATGAAATAAATATGGTAATTTATTGCCTTAAAAAGGAATGGCACATGCACTAAGTTATTGCTTAACGGATAAAACCCTACTTTAAATTACAAAATAATATTTTGTTGCAGAACATTTTATTCTGTTTATGTACATTATTCATGTGTATTAAAAGCAGAGACATTCTATGTTACAACTTTTTCGGGAATCAACCATATAATAATGGAACCAATATAATTTTACTGTTGCTACATTTCATTAAAATATTTCATAAGATAAAGATTATACCCTTTAATAAATAGGAATTATATTTGACAGCTTAGTGTCTGAGATTCATAAAAAAATATATAAATCAACAATCTGTAGGAGCCACTTTAGTCACATCAGATCATTGAAAACAAAATTGAACATGAGTCTTTAGCTGCTTTCAGTTTGTTTGAAAAAATTATGGGCAGAATTCTAAAGCCATTTTCAGATTATTTGAAACAAAATTGGGCAGGACTCTTTATTTAAAAAAGAATTGGGCAGAATTCTGTAGGTGCTTTTGATATATTTGAAAAAATAATGGGCAGGCCTCTTTAGACGCTTTTAGTTTATTTGAAAAAAAAAAACGTGCAGAAATCTATAGCCACTTTTAGATTATTTGATACGAAGTTGGGCTAGAGTCTATAGTCACTCTCAGATAAGCTACATGTATCATGAACCATTTCAACTTGTCAGCATTTTACCATGTTCCAATAGACCTGTTTCATCATCTGTGCCAACATGAAACAGAAGTTTTTTTCAATGTTTAGTGTAAAAATTTTATTATTTTCATAATTAACTTTAATTTAAATACAAGCAACAGATATTTGATCAGCTGTAGGAAATCTTTTTATTAACATTATCAGGCATTAATCAGAGTCACTCGTCCTGCGGGCGCATGGGATGAGTAGGTTGTAAATCCAATGTGCAGGTAACATTTTTAGCTCGACTTTTCTATGAAAAGGGGAGCTATCCTACTCGCCCCGGCGTCGGCGTTGGCGTCACACCTTGGTTAAGTTTTTCGTACCACCCCACTTTATTTCAGAAGTATTACAAGTATGGCTTTGAAACTTACCATACTTGTTCACCATCATAACTCATCTACAGACAAGAGTACATAACTCTGTCAAGGTTTTTGAACAGAATTATGGCCCTTTTTTGACTTAGAAAGTGTAATTGAGCTTGGTTAAGTTTTTTGTACCACCTCACTTTATTTCAAACCATTGGAGGTATTGCTTTGAAACTGACCATACTTGTTTACCATCACGACCTTCATCAACAGACAAGAGGACATAACTCTGTCAAGGTTTTTGACAGAATTATGCCCCTTTTTGACTTAGAAAATACATTGAATATGGGTAAAATCCACTTATTGCCTTAACCCTTTGAGATATTGCTTTGAAACTTTTAATGCTATTTCACATCATTACCCCCATCTGTACGCAAGAGAAGGTAACTCTGTCAAGGATTTGTTTTAAAAATTAAGGCCTTTTATCGACTTAGAATCTTGGTTAAGTTTTTAGTACCAGTCCACTTTTTGACTGAACTGTTTGAGATATTAATTTGAAAGTTGGAATACTTGTTTACAATCATGATTCCCAAACATGTCCAGGAGAAGGTAATTCTGTCAAAGATTTTATTTGAATTATGGCCCTTAACTGTCAATGTTTTGTATTATAGGCAAGCACTAAAAAACTTAAAAAATCTAAAAAAATTCATTCCTATCCACTGAACCTGCAGTGTTCAAGGGTATCACACAATTCAGTAAAATAATTCTTCACTAAATATCTTAATGCTCATGGCCATTGTTCACTTTAAAAATACAGAGATTCTTGTATTGCCTTTTACTGCAAAAACTTTTTTTATTGGCAAGCAATAAAAAAGTCGAGCGCGCTGTCTTACGGACAGCTCTTGTTGTACTTGTCCTGCATCAAGTTCTCTTAAATTCTACATCTAATTACCAGTAGACAGGTGGAATTTTTGATCTCTGATTATCTATCAAAAATAGTATAGCGATACTTGATGATTTTAGCAATTATTATACATTATAATGATATACATATTATAGCTTTAAAAAGAATTTATATGATTTATTGTATAAGTATTTTATTTCAGATCATCGTTTGAGTTGGTAGGTCTGTCACCTGAGGATGCAAAGCACCTGGAGGCGGTCATTGATTTCCTCTACAGCGGCATTATATACATGAATAACGTAAACTTTACTGCGATCATAAAACTAGCAGATTATCTCGCTATAGAAGAACTATTTGACCTGGCCGAGAAGTACCTTGAAATGAATGTCACAAAAGAAAATTGTCTCAAGTTCTATTTGGACATGAAGAAAGCCTTTGATGCTGATACATCTAAGGTGAGACATGTTTGTTACTTGTATATCAGACAGGATTATCTCTGTTAATACTAGTGCAACAAATTCCTGTCTTACACCCCCCATGTAAGACAAGTTGCATGCTTTAAATGACGTGATTGCCACACACGTTTTATGAATGAAATAAGTTCTATTGATGATGGCATTTTACCATTATGAAGGAAGTTTGTAAGTTCATATGCTACTGTAAGAAAAAAGTGCGTAATGAAAATATCAGTTTTGGTAATATCTGTTCCAAAAATAATTGATGTTTAATATGCAAGAAAAAGAATCAAACTCTGGCTGTCAGTACAGACAGGAATATCTAGCTCTCGGGTAACTGTTAAGTGGAAACTTGGTAGAACCTTGTTACAGCCGTAAACCATTACCCTCAAGCTTGATATTCCGGGCTGTACAGGCAGCCAGTGTAAGATTCATATATTATTACACCCCTGCCACATAATGTGGAGGGGGCTGTACTGTAATCACTTTGTTGCATTGTTTGGTCAGTCAGTCGGTCTGTTGGTCAGCTGCACTACAGAATAGGGATAGGTGGCCATCTAACTGTAAACAGAACAAAAGAGAACTATAGAGAGTTCATTCTGTAACAGTAGAATAAGAGTCAAATGGCCCTTCATTAAATAACAAAAAAAATCCCAATTCGGCTGCAAGACTGCCCATCTCTATCATGTTTGCTCTATAAATCTTTTACCCATTGAAGGATTTTTTTCTCAAAATTTTGCTCAGATAAGGTGATGTGCAAAACTCATCCTGCCACTGTACAGACTCAAGGTCAAAATCACCCTAGAAGGTCATAATTTGAACATTTTGTGTATGCACTGGACATTTTCTATACTTTTTCAATGACTTTTAAAACTTAAATGTTTACTTAGAAAAATAATGATAAATTGAACTACATGATATCCTGTGTTATACAGATCAGATGAGGGTATTTGTCGTTTCTTTGGCACCTCTAGTTTGTTTCCCTTTCAAACCATGTTTATGAAATGAAGAGTTTAAATGTTGATGGTTGGGTAAACCATATGTTGGGTTAGGTTTTATCTGTTAGCTACTCTGTCGGTGGTAAGGTAATCCATATGTTGGATTTTATCTGTTAGCAACTCTTACGTTTCTCAAGAGATTTCATTCAAACATTATAGTAGAATTGTCATCATCAAATGTCCTGATGCATATCATTGAGGCGTTATGATTTGATATATGATCTTTTATGATTTTCCGTTTCATGTAAATTCATATTAAATAATACTTAAAATAAAGCTATGCTTTAGAACAATTCATTGATGAGTTTTTCTTTGATGTTAGTCTTACTGAAATGTAAGAGAGGGGACAAAAGTCGCCCACCCACTGGACAAAAACCCCATCTAAAAGTGACACAGTGGACAAAAGCCACCTCATCAAATTTAATTTACACATAGGACGAAAGCCCCCCCCCCCCCCCCCCCCCAAGAAAAGTTAACAATATACACATGTATCATTTTAATTTTTCTGTTGATGGATTAGAGATACATATTTTGAGTAAAATAAATGTCTAGAAAAGACAAGGAATCATCTCTAAAATCATGAAAACAGATGTTAAGATAAGAAATGCATATATGAGTTAAAACTGTTTGGACTATACCCACAACTTGTGTTTGCTGGTACCCAAGCTCTAAGTTATAATGTGATTGTGTGTTTTCATATTGCAGGGATCCAGCAGTTCTAACAGGAAGTCCGAAGATTTGTTGAAAATGGTCTGGGAAACTGTTGAGGCCAACTTTTATGACCATGTTATTGATCATCATGAATTCCTAGAGGTAATCTTTTTTATATATAGCTAACTTAGCTTGATAGGTAGTGTATCAGATTATTTATCCATGGGGTCGCTGGTTTTATCCTTGGACATGGCGTAATTTCTCTGTGATCTCAGACAATCTATCTAAGGTTTATTTGCTGCTGATGCAGAAATCAGTCGAGATTAGTTGTTGGTCACTGGCAGAGAAATAGGTAGTTACTTTAAGTTATCCTGGAAAACGGGTTAGGTAGATTGACTGACAAGATATGATAAAAAAATGTGTTAAAAATTGGCGTAACATATAAACAATCATGCATAATTATATAGTATCTTACAAGACAGTTCTAACTCCACTTCTCAATAGTTTAAAAAAAAAACAGTTGTCCTAAACATCACTGCAGTGTTCTTATATTTGGGATCATTGGTACCAATACTTTTTTTTGTGTTGAATATTGAATACTGCTTAAGTCTGTGCTAGGCAGAGTGAGACAGACTGCATCAAACTGAACCTGTAATTTTCACTTCTAAACTTTGTTTTTCATTGTTCTTTAGGAATCACCCTCTTTCCAAATTTGTTTAGCTTCCTTTTACCAAAAAATAACTGTAAATATCATGAAAAAAAAGTTCCCATCTATTATTGAGGATGGAATCAAATATGCAATGTATATAGTGGTGCCTAAGAAGGAACTCCACTGAGGTCTTTAAAAGCCTAAAACTTAAAAATTGAATATTTTTAAAAATAAATGGAAAATTGTATTTTTGTGCCATTCTTAGCGCAATTTGATTGAAAATGCTACGCTTTTCATTATTGGGTCAAAATAAGAATAAAATCAATATTTTGGAAAAGGGTCTGAGCATATGATCAGAAATTTTGCAAACAACTTATTGGTCAAGACCTATATCTAATGGAACATTTATCTTGAACAATTATTAATGAGCCGCCATGTTAAAAAAACTCAGTTGAGTCCCGTAAAGGGTTGAGGCATCTAAATTTCAGAACCAACTATCCTTGCATGATCTTAAGAGACAACTAAATGTGTTTGAAAAGCTGGAAACTATGCATGATTACATCTCTTAACTCCAGCAGGTGAAGTGGTTTTCACCATGAAGTTTGTTACACCTGAGGTTAGCCAAAACCATCTTTTCTGTGTCAGCTCCAAATGACCTAAACTGTGTTGGTGCACCATTAAACCAAACAAACAAGTATTAAGTGTTTCAAAATATTCCAAAATTGATAAGATTTTTGCTAATCTGCGCTAATAATTGTATTAAACTGATTTTATTAGGTGATTCCAGACGTGATAGAAGAACTGTTACAGAGGAACTTTGTTTTACAGAAAGTGCTGAAACTTGCTGTCAGGTGGATGAAAACATGGCCTCTAGGAGTCACAGTAAGTTTACTTTATATACCTCCACTAATGGGAACATATTGTCACCTGAGTGCAGTAACAAATTAAATCCTATTAGATTTAGAAGAACTTAATCTAGTATTGCACTAAGGTGACGAATCATATATTTTTCCTTTTGTGTCAGTCGCACTGTTATTCTGTTCCAGTTTGTCGATAGACTGACAAATCTGTGGAATGTTGAAGCTGTCATGTTGTATTGACAGATTTCTAGTGATTTGTTGAACTGTCCTTGGATATAATATAACAGAACAAGCAAACTACCAAGTAGATAAGCCGTCTTATATTTGCATCAACTTGACAGTCAATCAATAAATTAAATTCCTGTTATTATATAAATTTACATTAATGAACATCAAAACATCATGTTCAGACCATTTATATACATAAGAACTGTTAACATTTAAGCAGTTTAATTATATTTACATGTATACTCTTTTTTTACACTGTTCACTGCAGACAAAGTTCACAATAAACAACAAGGAAACATTGGGGCAATGTGCCTGATTAGAAAAAAATATAAAATATAAAACTACTGTAAAGCCAGGAAAAAATGTCTCAAAATGAACATTTTGGACTAATGATTGTTGTGGTCAAACTTTTGCAAATATCTTCTTCCAGTCTGTTAGATTTATATGATTCTTAGCAAATATATCCTGTCATGAAACTATTAAGTTCGCAAAATTTAATCACTAGCAAAAAAAATGAAATTTACAGTAGTTTATGTTGTTATAACACTTCCTCAAAGTACTGTTTGGAATTTTCTATCTCATTTTCAGAAAATATTCACTTAAAACAGTGCAAAATTTTATTGAGATTATGCATGTTTTTTGGTCACTTTCCACGATCTGTAACTCATGCATGGATGTTTTATTGAATTAAATCCCTTTGTGAACTTATAAAATTTCTTGCAAAGACTTTTTATGTCAATTCATTCACCCCAACCACTGAAATCATTCACTTGTCAGTCAAGCATTTTCAGACTAACTCTAAAATTGCGTCTTTGTTGAAAGTACTCCCCTTTCAGAACTTTGAATCAAGTTATATTATTATATTATCCAGGCTCTTTTTTGTACTATTAAGCACTGGGAATAGTAGAGCATTCTGTCCAACTGGAAGATCTTGTTAAGAAAGTGTTAATTGTTTCTCGAAATATTATGCTTGTATATTTTCTTTGCTTAAAATTTATGAATTGACCTTGGTAATTAAAGTATTTTTATCTCTTTATAATGCTAAATATGTTTTTAACAATTTCAGTTGGCAGAGAATTTGGTAAATATTACACACAGTAAATTGAATACTATATCAGAAGAGAAACTCACTGATAAAAGTAAAGCTGACATTGTTGCTTTGGTAACAACAATTAGAGAAGAGGTCAAGTTGAGAACAGTATCGGAGAGTAATATGGGGAGTATTCTGAGGAAACTCGGAGAAATTCAGGCCGTCTTTGATAGCAATTACAATCTTATTGAATCAGAAGAAGAAAAAGTATCAACGGACAATAAAGATGAAACACAAGGTGTTTCTATGGAAACAGATACTGAAGCACAGTGTGCAGCTGATAAGACTGAGGATAAAATGGATGAATCTATTACAAACAATACTGATAATTCCAAAGATAAAGTAGAAAGTGAGGCAGACGTTTCTGTCATTAGTAACAATACTGAAAGTGAGCCAGGGAGTGGACTGGTAATTAATAAACATCAAAATAATGATAAAGACAAAGGAAAGAGTGATTTTAAAGAAATGGCTGATGATAGTGATATAGATTGCAAGTTAGGTAAAAAGTCATTACCAAGAACTAGGTCAAAGTCAAGAAGATCCACTGATGAACAAATTCAGAAAGATATTACTGTCAGTGTTAACAAGGTTAAAACAGTAGAGAAAGATTGTATAGGTGGGCATGAAAAAAACGAAATTGTTATATATGTAGATGATATAAAGGAAGAAAATGGTAAAACGAATGTCGAAACTTTGGAACATGTGGCGAGAGGGTTAAAGGGAGTTGGTCCCGACTGTGTTGGATTGACGGAGAGGATCAAATTGGATGGAACAGAAGTTGATGTTTCAGCAAGGTAAGTTGTTGGGATTGAAATAAAAATGTGGAATCATTGTCATGACCAGCAGGTTGGCGTCGGTGTCCTATTTGTAAATGTTGGTTTGATGAAAAACTATGAAAGGTATTCAATTCAAACTCGCATCAAAATGTGACACCATGACAATAGGGCAAATAATTCATAAATTGATTTTGCAGTTGTGCCCCTTTCGAGGCTTTTACTTTCTTTATACAATCCAGCATTTAGAAAAGTTGAGCGTCAGGGATGATATTTTAACATACAAGCTGAAAATGCATTCAATTTTAAGAGCATCTCAAATGATGATTGGATCTCCAATCTGTTAATAATAAAAACCCTGAATAAACTTAGTCTAAGGCACTTTTATATAAGATCTGCCAAAACCCTCTGTCATTATAAAATCTGTTCATAAGTGACTTGATGTTACCAAGCCTAAAGCACTTACAAGTACGATCTGAATTGTCTGTTATAATAAATATTTTTGCAATTTGTTAGTAACATAATGTTATTTAGTATGAGGCACAAGTTTACCCTCCACCAAACTTACCTATCAACATATGTAGGAATTTGTTATGCTTTGTAACATATATAGTAGAATTTTGATGACACAAATAGTGAATTCTTTCATATTTTACATACATGTAATTCTGTCCAAGTTTTACTGGAAATGTGAATATTTCCGTAATTTAAAATTATAAAACAATACATATATTTTTTTTGAAATTTGATTTTTTGATGACACATACATATATTTAACCTATGTGGAACTTTTATAGTCCTAGTCATACTTTAGTTCTAACAACACTAGATGATATGATGTTACTATGGTAACAACAAAATCTTTATTTTTTGTGTTTTCTTATTTATTGTATCTAGGGCTATCATTGAAAAAATAAAAATAGCAATATAAATATATTATCAATATCCATCATCCTGGTACAATATCAGTACACATTTTCAAATATTGATACAAACTTAAATTTATATACAACTCATTTTTGCCTAATAAGAGAAGTCACTTTTTTCCATTTTTCTTCGCTAACTTGAACTTTAAACTCTGTTTTCAAATGTCAGTGACAAAAAGAATAGAAAAAACAAACTTTCTGTTAGTTTGTAGTATTTGTAATGTCTAATACAAGCATGCATAACACCATAATCCCAATTTATAACACATATTTAAATGTATTTAATTGTATCTACTGTCCAAGACGATATATATCCATATGGATATACCGTCAATATTCGTCTCTCAATATATCAATACAAATTTCTCCATCAGCCCTAACTGTATCTGCCATTGTATACCACAAAAACTGTAAATTTTTCATATTTAACTAGTAGCAGACCAAGTTTAAATTAATTTTGTTTATCACTGATATATCACAGACACAAAATATATACATGTTAATGTATTAAAGGAGCTCCACTTAAAAGCTTTGAAACATAAAATATGAATTTCTTACATACAAAACTCCCAGTATTCACCTTAGTACAGTAACTGCATGGTTAATTCCTTTTAATTTTAGTAGGAGTTAACCAGTTTTTCACTACGATGACGCAGTACACTTAAAGTGGAAATATATGCAAAAGATAACAAAGATATAAACTCTCAATTAATGTGAAAATCAAATTTATTTTTGTGCTACTCGTAGGCTGATTTGAGTTAAAAGCGTATAAACACTTCATTTTTAGTACATTTTCACAATTACAATAATTAATTTGGAAAAATCAAAGTAAGGGAATCAAAGTCTGCACAAACTTTATTAGTCTAGAACTTTTTCAAATGGTACATACATGTTAATTTTGAAAAACTATCTTATATTTTCCTGCCATGTCAAATAATATGAATGGAGTACCTTTGATAACTTAGGTGATAGCAGTTTAAATTTTACAGTACTTAATCATATCTAAAAAAACTTTTTTAAAGAAATGATGTTTGTATTTAATGTTGTATTGTAGTGGAGAAAACTCTGATGCAAATACACAAGAAAAGGGTGAAGAAGCAGAGTCTACTCTTCATGACAGAGTTGCTGAATGTCTCAAACTCCAAAGAGTGGTAAAAGAAGAAAAGGACAACAATGGAACCCAACTGACTAAAATTAAACCCGCTAAAGGTAAAAGAAAACGAGGTAGACCAAAGAAACATGTTGATACAGAAACAGAATATGAGGAGTCAAAAGAAGACACAACAATAGGTACTAGAAGAAAGACGAGAGGGGTGAAGCGGAAAATTGTGGACTATAACTATGGATTGTCGGACTCGGATGATGACGAAACTGTCGTTAAGGTTGAAGTTGAAGTTGTAAATGAAGGGGAGTTTATGATCGAAGAAAGCCAAGGGACTGAGTCTGAATGTGATAAAGAAATAAGAAGCGATGTCGAAGGTGATAGTGAAGATGATTACTCTGAGGACATCTTTGCTGAGGCTTTAAAACAAGCATCTGGTTTTGACATGCTTGAATCGGAAGATTCAAAACCCTTGAGAAAAAGACAGCCTAGGAAACCTGGCCATCATGAGTGTGAAATATGTGAAAAGGTGTACTCACAAAAGTACCGGCTTACACAGCATATGAATACACATTTAGGAATAAAACCGTACAAATGTGTAGTATGCTTGCAGAATTTTAGTCGGTCCGACCATGTAGTACGGCATATGAAAAGTCAGCATTGCGATATGGATTTGTTCAAGTGTGATGAATGTGATGAAGAATTTGAAAAAGTGAACGAAATGGTTACGCACTCTTTAATTCATATTCCGCAGCCTGGATATGCCAGTGAAAAGTATACATTATTTACAGATGCAGAAAAAGAATTTATAGCAATATCAACACACGAGACTGGGAAACAGCAATATAATTGTATCAAATGCAATGTGATATTCAGAAGGCCTTACCAAGCACGAGAGCATATAAATTTCCATACAGGCAGTAAACCCTATAAATGTAATTTATGTGACAACACTTTTGCTAAGAAAGAAAATTTAACGGCGCATATAAGAACTGTGCATGAAGGAAAGCGAGGCGACTTTAAGTGCGATAAGTGCCGTCGATATTTCATGAAGAAGGAGAGTTACGAAGTTCATGTTGAAAAATGCCAACCAAATTATGTCTGCGAACACTGTCCATTGAAATTCTACCGGAAAACGCATTTAGATAATCATAAATCAGTGCACGATCTTGTCCCCCAACATAAATGTCTACATTGTGACAACATGTATAGGTATAGGAAACACATGTTACGACATATTAAAAAAGATCACAAACACGAGGTGGAGACACCGGTGCCTTGTATATGTGACATATGTGGGGTAGTTGTAAAGAACAAAGAGGCATTGTATCGACACAAGAAGGTTCATAAGATGCCAGACAAAGAATGCGATGTCTGTGGGAAGGCCTTCAAGGATAATACAACACTTAAGGTGAGTGTAACTGGCTTGTATAACTTTGTTTTGGTCAGTGTAAAGGCATTTGCTAAGCTTACATAATTATAAGCATATAATAGATTGAAAAATATGGAATTGATTTAGAATTAGCATGATCCTAGTATATGATAGCAGACACATTTTAAGCCAAAAGAAGTAGGGGATTACCAACCTGGTTTACAGGTAATCTGCCTTGAATTAAATTTTTTTGCTTATTTCAAGGGCAGATAACCCACAAAAAGGTTGAGTGATTATACATAATAATTAGTAGTTTGTTTAATTTTTTCGTCTTTGCTTAAATTTTCTTTTTGTTGATATTTTTTCTTTCTTAAAGAATTTTTAGTTTTCGTAATTTATCTTAAAAAAAAGGATTAATTTTTTTTAATGAAATCCATGATCTTTTATGTTTAGACCAATGATAGAATTAAAAAAAACCAAATGACCAATACTAGTAGTAAAAATAAGGTTTTTCAGACCTGTGTATAAGTTACCTGCCCTTGTAATGACATGACATAACAAAGATATCTCATATAAGGGCAAGTTTCTCATAATTTTAAGAGGTTGGTGAACCCCCAAATTATTTTCTTGTATATTTTTTCTGTAATCATATTTTTAGGTCATGTAAACGTAATTTAAATTAAACTAATTCTGTTCTTTAATTTTCAGTTTGCTATAAGCCTGTATGTTACACTAGCATATATGCCTTTAAAGTGAATTGGTCTATAATGGAAGGTTTGTAATACAATAAATAATTATGTTGATAGTAACAATAAACCACTATTGAATTGTACATAGAAGTTGTTGGAAAGTGTGAGATACATGCTGATATTACATATATTTGTATAGCAGATATAATGTTCTTAACAAAATATTATTGTTCATCATATAAATGTTCATACTAAATCACTTACAACATCATCAACAGTTTCTTTTCAAGCAAAATATCATTAGAATATCCAGATGATACAATTCTATTGTTTTTATACTCACGAAAAATGTTCCCATTGTAATAGATTTATATTATACTCAACATCCCTAATTCCGCATCATCACTAATTTCACGGTATTGGCATATTTTCATGTGACCAGTGTTAGAATTGGTCAGAATTGACATATTTTATTCATACACCTATACAACAAAGTTTTTGTGCAAAATATTTTAAATCTCTAGATTTTTACACAAAACAGAACAAAATTTTACAAATTTCTGCAAAAAGCAACTATAGTGCATTAAATTTGTGGGTACGTCTGAAACAATCATGATTTTCCAAATGTTCTTGTTTGTTGAAAAAATTAATTTTGAGTTACAAACAAAGGATAGTTTTAATACTTAAAATTAAACAAAATAACATGTAGAAATTTTTGCTGAAGCATGAAAAAACTGAAATGTAACACCATTACCGCGATTTAAATGATGACATACTGTTTTCAAAATGGCCGACATATGGTCTGCATCTGGTACATTCAAACTGACTTTGACTGAATATATTGTTGTTTACTTATGTCATGCAGTAGAAAATACCTATATGTTATAGCTAATGACAATTTTTGTATCATAAGTTTCATTTTTAGCTCGACTATTCGATAAGAATAAGTAGAGCTATTGCAGTCACCCGAGCGTCGGCGTCAGTGTCTGCGTCGGCGTAACCACTTATGTTAAAGTTTTTGTAATAGTTCAAATATTTTCAAAGTCCATTGACATATGGCTTTGAAACTTTGCACACTTGTTCACTATCATGACCCCAACCTGTAGACAGGAGGAGGTAACTCTATCAAGCATTTTGACAGAATTATGCCCCTTTTTCGACTTAGAATTTATGTTAAAGTTTTTGTAATACCTTAAATATTTTCCAAGTCCATTGACATATGGCTTTGAAACTTTGCATACTTGTTCACCATCATGACCCAAACTTGTAGACAGGAGGAGGTAACTCTATCAAGCATTTTGACAGAATTATGCCCCTTTTTCGACTTAGAATTTATGTTAAAGTTTTTGTAATACCTCAAATATTTTCAAAGTTCATTGACATATGGCTTTGAAACTTTGCACACTTGTTCACCATCATTACCCCAAGCTGTAAACAGGAGGAGGTAACTGTATCAAGCATTTTTTTTAACTATCAAGCACTAAGAATAGTCGAGCGTTGCTGTCCTACCGACAGCTCTTGTTTGTTTTCTTTCTTGTTTCAAAGCGTTATTAGTACTGTGAACTAAGAGGAGCACAGTATACAAATTGTAATTAATTAAGATCCTTGCCATTGTAGACCTATCCACTATTAAGATTAATTGTAAGGAAAGCCTGTAGTTTATAGCGTAGACACTCTAAAATACGAGTTTAACCATAATATGAGATAACATTCAATACTGTTACATTATTAAGGTTCAGACATTGCCTCGTATGAGAGATAGACCATACAGCCACCTCTCCCTGTAGTGTATTGTCTCTCATAGTAGCAAAAAATTCTCATTTATAGAAATTCTTTACATTATACCTGAATAAATAAATATCAGTTACATTCAATGGAAAAAAAGCATTGCAGTGTTTATAGAATTATATAAACTACATAAAATTTACTCCAGGAATGTTCATCCTCTTTATTTCAAATAAGTTATTCAGACTTTTTTGTCAACTTCAGTTTTATTTCTTTGAGGTTTTAATATGTCTTTGGTATGAAATGATACCGTTAACTTTCTTTTTCTTTCTTGACAAGTTCTACCACTTATCTTTAATAATCGGTATTAAAAACATTTGATCATAATGTAAATCTTATCCTCTGTGCAAGACACTATTATCTCCCTTTGACTGCAAATATTTTCTAAAATGACTACTTGCCTCTTGCTTATTTACATCTAATATTACAGTTCATCAGGGGTGCATTTTTATGCCCCCGCCATATAATGGCAGGGGCATATAGTGTTACCCTGTTCCGTCATTTCGTCATTCCGTCCTTCCGTCATCATCAGTTTCCGTTCATTATCTTAATAACCCTTGCACATATTGAACTCAAATTTGACATATGGATATGTCATGAGAAAATACAGGTCAAGTTCGAAATTGGTCATGGTTCCATGATTTTTGGCAGAGTTATGCCCCTTTTACATTGAAAATAATATGAAATTTCAGTTTCCGTTCATTATCTCCCAAACGGTTCAAAACATTCAATTCAAAATTGACATATGGATATGTCATGAGAAAATACAGGTCAAGATCGAAATTGGTCATGGTTCGATGATTTTTGGCAGAGTTATGCCCCTTTTACTTTGAAAATAATATGAAATTTTCAGTTTCCGTTCATTATCTCCCCAACGGTACAACACATTCAACTCAAACTTGACATATGGATACGTCAAAGGAATGCGCAGGTCAAGTTCAAATTTGGTCATGGTTCAATGATTTTTGGCAGAGTTATGCCCCTTTCACTTTGAAAATAATATGAAATTTTCAGTTTCCGTTCATTATCTCCCCAATCGTACAACACATTTAGCTCAAACTTGACATATCGATACGTCAAAGGAATGCGCAGGCCAATTTTAAATTTGGTCATGGTTCGATGATTTTTGGCAGAGTTATGCCCCTTTTACTTTGAAAATAATATGAAATTTTAAGTTTCTGTTTATTATCTCCCCAACAGTATTAAACATTCAACTCGAATTTGACATATTGATATGTCAAAGGAATGCGCAGGTCAATTTCAAATTTGGTCATGGTTTGATGATTTTTGGCAGAGTTATGCCCCTTTCACTTTAAAAATAATATGAAATTTTCAGTTTCCGTTTATTATCTCCCCAACAATATTACACATTCAACTCAAATTTGACATATGGATATGTTTTTGGAATGCGCAGACCAAGTTCGAATCTGGTCATGGTTCGATGATTTTTGGCAGAGTAATGCCCCTTTCACTTTGAAAATGATATGAAATTTACAGTTTCTGTTCATTATCAACCCAACAGTGTTACATATTCAACTCAAAATTGACATATGGATATGTCAAAGGAATGCGCAGGTCAAGTTGGAATTTGGTCATGGTTCGATGATTTTTTGGCAGAGTTATGTCCCTTTCACTTTGAAAATAATATAGATACATCTTAGGAATAAGCAGTTTAAGTTTGAATTTGGTCGTGGTTCAATGATTTTAGACAAACTTATCTTTCCTGAATGTTGGAAAAATTTTGAACTTTCAGTTTCAGCACTCATACTTTTGTGGAAATGTATATAGCCATTATGTTGGCTACAAATATGCAATATGCTATTTTTAAAAGGTTAAGACTGAATAATTTCAGTGCCTTGAACATTGTATAAAAATGGTTTGTGTTAACATTGAAAAGTTTTAAGGGCTTTGAACTTAGAATGAAAAAAATAATTTGTGCAAACAAATTTGGAACTAAATATTATAACATTTGAAATTTTGGCTGCATGCGGGGGCATCCGTGGCATGATGACACATTTCTAGTTTAGGTCAAAATTTGGTCCCATTCTTTTACTTTTTTTGAAAGTTTACCCGATCAAAATTATATACCATTGCAATTAAATGAAAATGTAACTGTTCAAACTGAAATTCAGTGAAGTTGTTCATATTTGAAGAACGAAATATTATATTCTTTTTACTTATTTAAATTTAATCAGAGTCGTAACAATAATATTCACTTTCACTTTTATTTATGTCATTATGATAGTAAATGTGATGAAAATCTCCCCAAAGCCCCAACCCCCTCTTCCTCGAATATGGCCCCAGCGTTTGAGGAACTTGTAACCCATTTACCAATACTGGAAAAGTAACAACCATTGTTATTATTGTCCATATTTTTCAGGATCATAAGTTAATGCATACAAACATTCGAGACTACCAGTGTGAGATTTGTTCCATGTTGTTTGCACGGAAAGGTAATCTTATACGGCACCAGAAACGGCATCGTGGCGAGCGCAAGTACAAGTGTGAGCAGTGCGGGATGTGCTTTGTAGCAAACTGCGACCTGACAAGACACAAGAACACCCATTTAGGTACAACTTATTTCAATAATGCCAAAAATTTAAAATCTAATAGTTTATTTATTTCTCAACTTTCTGATCTCAAGCAAAAAGAATAAGAAGGTAGTTTAGGGTAAGTTAAGGGTAGGAGTAGCTTAGAGTCAAGTAGTTAGGGAATTTGTTTTTTATGCCCCCACAATGTGGGAGCATAAAGCGTTGCACTTGTCCGTCCGTCCGTCCGTCCCGAAATCTTGTGAACGCAACTCCTCTTAAACCGGATGGCAGATTTTGCTTAAACTTACAGGGATGAACAACCTTAATGTGTAGATGGTAGTAAAGGAAGGAATTTTTGCTGGGACCAAATTTAACAGAATTATGGCCCTTTGTTGATTTTTTCACTATATACTATGTAGAAATTTTGTGAACGCAACTCCTTTAAACCGGATGGCAGATTTTGCTTAAACTTACAGGGATGAACAACCTTAATGTGTAGATGGTAGTAAAGGAAGGAATTTTTGCTGCGACCAAATTTAACAGAATTATGGCCCTTTGTTGATTTTTTCACTATATAATATGTAGAAATTTTGTGAATGCAACTCCTCTTAAACCGGATGGCAGATTTTGCTTAAACTTACAGGGATTAACAACCTTAATGTGTAGGTGGTAGTAAAGGAAGGAATTTTTGCTGTGACCAAATTTAACAGAATTATGGCCCTTTGTTGATTTTTTCACTATATACTATGTGGAAATTTTATGAATGCAACTCCTCTTAAACCGGATGGCAGATTTTGCTTAAACTTCCAGGGATTAACAACCTTAATGTGTAGATGGTAGTAAAGGAAGGAATTTTTGCTCGACCAAATTTAACAGAATTATGGCCCTTTGTTGATTTTTAGTTTTCAACTTGTGGCACATGTAGTCTAAAAAATGTTTGACCTAGAGTCATAAGATTGACAGAACAGTGGCGTTTGGGGGCATCCGTGGCCAATGGACGCATTTCTAGTTTTTATTGATAATGGACAGCTCCAAATATTAAAATATTTAATCTGGACAAATCCAAAATAGAGGTTAAGGAACTGATGGTTGAATATTGGAACATTTATAAGAGAAACATTGTATTGAAAATAGCCATTTTATATGTTATAAACGATGGTAGGAGCGTAGATAATAGTATGATTTATTTTGCATAAACAGAACAAATTATACTTTTATAAGGTCCATCTGCTTAACTCAATAGGTTGAGCATGTGCATTGTAACCCAGGGGTGGCTGGTTTAATCCTCAGGGAAGGTAAAATATTTCTCCTACAGTGTTTCTTACAGTCATTTGCCTCTCACCATTCATGCATAAATCATGCGGGATTGATAGTAAGTCACTTGTGGAGAATTTGTTAACTACTGTAAGTTATCAAGGAAAGCCAGTTAGGTGGAATGGCTGTCAAGATATTTTCAAATTTTAAAATGTGTTAAAATCAGTGTAAAACCTGGTAAAACAAACTTCATTTTTCAAATGATTCTATTATTTTTCAGGTGTTAAGAAGTTTCCATGTCGTTATTGTGGTAGAAAATTCAGCCTGAAAAGTAAAGTAGTTATACATGAGAGGACTCATACAGGTATTCTTGTTGATGTTGTCTTTTGTTTTATCCCTAAATGCTATTTAAGGACATTGCTTGTTTTTTAAGTGTTATGCAGTTGAGTCCTGAACACTTTAATGTGTGTGGGTTTAAATTTTACCAGAGCGAATCTTCTTAGTTTGTCTGTAAATCCACCCTTGTGTAATCACTGGTTAAGACAAAGGGAAATAATCATTTACCTTGAAGAGCTATGTCTACACACCAAAACAAAAGGGGTATATTTTAGCTTGATTGCAAAACAAGTTCGTTCACCTGTGACAATGTGGCTTTAATGATCACGTGTCATCCGCTGTACTTTAAACACTTTGTGTTCATTTCTTTGTTTTGTAGTGATTCTCTAAACTCAAGAAATATTAGCAATTACTCAAAAAAAAATTACAATTACAGTATTACACTAATACATTTGCGACCTTTTCATATATTTTTTCAGATAAGAATTTCATTTTGTTTTTTACCTGAGATTTATTTGCACATACTCAAGTCACCTTCCTGTTTTGTTTCTACATGCCTAGATGTTACAAGTAATTAATTAGATGTACACTGATTTTTAGCATAAATAATTTTGGAATGTTTCATGAGTTTTGTTATTAAAAAAACATCTGTGAGTGGATTAAGCTCAGTAATAAATATTCTTAGATTAAAAGTGATATGAGATTAGATTTAAGTTAGCTGGTGAATGATATGGTTGGTTACAATACAATTAAAAAATTATTATTAGTGTACCATTTTTCTCTTTCAGGTGAGAGACCATACGTTTGTAGAGACGAGGGATGCGGGAAAACATTTAAGCAGACTGGGGACCGAGTCCGACACGAGAAAAAGGTCCACAGTCTGACATTTAACAAATACATGACATTGTACGAACTTGCAACGGGCGAGTCGGAAGACATCTACAAGCAAACAGACAATAAGGCTCCTACAAACAAAGTGACAACCCTCCCGGCAAACCCAAGTTATGAAATACCAGCCGATTTAAAGTTGGGTGCAAATATGAACATTAATATGGATTTAAACTCAAGTCAAGTGACAGATTTAACTGTCAACTTGAGCTCTAGTCAGGCCTCCGGCAAGAGTGAGAAGCCATTGAACGATGAAGGTTCCGGTCAGATAAACGGTTCAAGCCCCGCCCAAGCTGCTAACTTTACAGCAAGCAGTCTCGCTGCATTAGATAAAAGTATAATAAACGCTGCGACTGCCAGTTTTACTCCAAATATGAATAATTCATTCATCGAGGAGGCCGAAATGAGCAAGATATTTCAGAAAACTGTGGCGGCCATAAGCCAAGAGGCTATTGCAAAAAGTGGTATATATAACTGAGACTGTACCATTAGGTTGGTATATATAATTGAGACTGTACCAACAGGTTGGTATATATAACTGAGACTGTACCATTAGGTTGGTATATATAATTGAGACTGTACCATCAGGTTGGTATATATAACTGAGACTGTACCATTAGGTTGGTATATATAATTGAGACTGTACCATTAGGTTGGTATATATAATTGAGACTGTACCATCAGGTTGGTATATATAATTGAGACTGTACCATAAGGTTGGTATATATAATTGAGACTGTACCAACAGGTTGGTATATATTATTGAAACTGTACCATTAGGTTGGTATATATAATTGAGACTGTACCATCAGGTTGGTATATATATATAACTAAGTCTGTACCATTAGGAAATTTGTTTACATACGGGGAAGTTTTGTTTGGTTGAGACATCGACGTCCCCTTAAGCTTTTCTGGAGCATAAGTCAGTCATTATAAGTCGGATTGTCTTCAAACTTGGTATGCATGCTTCTTATAATGACCTGAAGTACAGTGCACACGAACCGGTACTCTGCATTTCATATTTTTTGAGTTATTGCCCTTTGTTAATTTTCATACTTTATTTTTGTCCAGGCCATTTCTCCTAAAGTATAAAAGCTATGGACATGAAACTTCATAGGATGATAGATCTCAGTAAGAAAAAGTGCAGTGCTAAAGAACCGGTACTCTGCATTTCTTATTTTTTGAGTTATTGCCCTTTGTTTATTTTCATACTTTATTTTTGTCTGGGCCATTTCTCCTAAATTATTAAAGCTTTGGACATGAAACTTCATAGGATGATAGATCTCATTAAAAAGAAGTGCAGTACTCTGCATTTCTTATTTTTTGAGTTATTGCCCTTTGTTAATTTTCATACTTTATTTTTGTCCAGGCCATTTCTCCTTAAGTATAAAAGCTATAGACTTAAAACTTCATAGGATGATAGATCTTATTGATAAGAAGTGCAGTGCACAGAAACTGCAGCTCTGCACTTCTTATTTTTTGAGTTATTGCCCTTTGTTAATTTTCATATTTCATTTTTGTCCTGGCCATTTCTCCTAAACTATATTGTTCACAAGGCAACACATCCGACTCGTGGAGTTCTAGTTATAATTTTAATTATAATCTATTTTTTTTGTTTAATCATTGTTGTATTTTTGTTAAAAACAGCTAAAATATGTTTTTTATAAGAAATATCCATTCTCTTATATGCTGCTCTTTTTTATTGATACTTGGATGTATTGTTTATTTTATTTTACTATTCTTAAAATGAAAAAGAATTATTATTTAAAAGAGCACTACCAAAATAGAGATTATAAGTTATAATTAAATTAATGCATTTTCGTAAGCATATTTCTGTTAAGCCTGCTGAAGTTATTCAAGAACAAGTTCACAATTTCATAAATTTAATAACTCAAAATAGGAATTAGATAAGTAACTATTAAAAGTCTTCACTTTAAACTTCGGTCACACACATCATATAATTAAGGTTCTCCTGCAAGACTCATAACTTTTTAGAATAGATTTCTACAGAGTATACTTCCTTATTAAAGCTTAGAAAATTCCTACATGGCCAAGGCTTGTGAATAGACAGGCACACTGTTTTTATGCTCCCCGAAAAATTTCGGGTGAGCATAATTATAGTCGGCGCCTTGTCCGTCTTTCTGTCCGTTGTCTTGTCCGGAGCATAACTTGAAAACCCTTGGAGATAATTTGTTGAAACTTCATACAGTGGTAGAGGGCATTGAGGGGGAGTGCAGTGTCAAAGAACCATAACTCTATTTTGCCCGGTTTTTGAATTATCTCCCCTTATAGAAAAATCTTGTCCGGGGCATAACTCTAAAACTGTAAGAGATATCAACATGAAACTTTGTAGGTGAATAGATCTCAATGGGTAGGTGTGTAGTGCATAAGAACAATCACTCTTTTTGTCCTAATTTTGGAGTTATTGCCCTTTGTTAATTTTAACACTTTGAACTTTGTCCGGAACATAACTCTAAAACTATAAGAGTTATCAAGATGAAACATTGTAGGTAGATAGATCTCATTGAGTAGAGGTGCAGTGTAAAAGAACCATAACTCTGTTAAGCCTCATTTTTTAATTATCTCCCCTTTTAGAAAAATCTTGTCCAGGACATAGCTGTAAAACTATAAGAGATACCAACATGAAACTTTGTAGGTAGATATATCTCAATGGGTAGATGTGCAGTGCACAAGAATCATAACTCTGCCTTGCCTAATTCTGGAGTTATTGCCCTTTGTTTATTTTTACTTTTTTGAAGTTGTCCGGGACATAACTCGGAAATCATAAGAGATATCATCAAGAAACTTTGTAGGTTGATAGATCACATTGATTAGAAGTGCAGTGCAAATAACAGTAACTCTGCCTTGCCTAATTTTGGAATTATTGCCCTTTGAACTTTTTCCAGGGACATAACTCTGAAACTACAAGAGGTGTACTTTCCTGTGTCCAAAACCTATCGGGGAGCATCACCCGGCTCAAACCGGGCTCTTGTTTTATGAAATTTATTAATTAAAAACTATGTTATTGCCTTATTAATATACTTTTAAAACTTCATGTAAATTATGGGAATGGATTTATGAAATGTTTTTCAATGCAATTATATTTAAATGCAATGGTTGATGATAAAGGGGAATGAAATTGATTTTATTTTGATTTTTTTAATGAAATTTGTCTTTTTTATTGATTTTTTTTGTTTGTTTTAGGATTATGAAACTTCTATTTTGTAATTATATAGAAAAGCAACTTTTCAACAATATATTTATATAGAATTTGTTGCTCAAATGTGAAATTTAATTAAGTTTAACATCAAATTTTTGCAAATTGATAAGATAAGTAGCTTATCCCATTCTAATGGTTAATGATTTTTTAAGAAAAAATAATTGCTACTGAAATTTTGAGAGCACTCATTTTTAAAATGGTTTCTAATAATTTATATTTATATTAGTGTTTTTAACTCTTTTAAACTTTGCTGTTTATGTTTAATAATTTTTAAATACATAAAGCAAGTAACCCTTTTAAAATTGCTGGAAATGACAGTTTTTGCCTTGATCAGGCTCTACATTTTAGGTTGCTCAATTTTTATATTTTGATATGGAAATCTCTACTATTTCAAATGGACTGTTCCATATTCGAGGTTGTACAGGTTAGGGTTATTGCATATATTTATTAAATGTACTTGCTTACTTAATTCATCATTTTTTTTAATTAATTAATCATTTAATTGATTTATTGATCAGATTATATGTTGTATCAACACCCTAGTATCCCAGCAATAATGATGTATGATTTATTAGTTAATTTATTATATGTATTAATGTTAATATTATAAATTGTTTAATAATCATATTTCACAGTTTTAAATTGTTATTTTGGTTGGGTTTGGTTTTAAGTCACACCAACACAGTAAAGGTCATATCGTGATTTTCCAGCTCTTTACTGATGGAGGAAGTCAAGAGCACCTGAGTAGAACCACTGACGTAATTTAGTTGGATAGCTTTCTCACATGAAAGAATCTGAAATCTCTGACGAGATTCTAACTTACACTGATGAAAGGCAAATGGTTTGAAGTCAAGGACTGTTGTTAAGAAATAATGGATATTCAACAATATTTGATCAGTTATTAAAAAAATGAGCTGATTAAAAAACCATAAGAAGAAAAGTAAAAGGTTTTGAGCACATGGTGATTTATTTATTTCTTTCATATAAAAGATCCATATTTTCATTATTTATAATTGTATGAAAATATCTATGTGTTATTGTTTAAACAACAATATTTGTTATCAAAATATCAGAGATTTTCAGTATGTAATTGTATCAGCAGTGGGAGTGAATACTACCAGCTGTGTGTTATAATATGTTAATTTGAGAAAATTATGTTAGTAATTGTATGTTAATATGAAAATTACTGCACAATTTTAATAGATAAAGGACATATTTTATGAAAGGTTGTTAAAGAAAGGAGTGAACAATTCTTAACTATTTTGTTATTGTATGTATATCTCTATGTCTTCTGCCTATACATACGTTGTATGTGTGTGCTGTAAACATATATTGTATGTTTAATGCAATAAATTTATTTGAGTTTTAGTATTAAACTCATTCCATTTTGTAGAGTAAATGTAACTTAGCTTTTGTTAGTGTTGTATTTTAGATCATTATAATTATACCAATAATAAACTTGTGAAACTTATCGGCTGATATTTTTATGCTTATTTTACTTTGTTTTAGCAACAACAAAAAATAGAGAAAAAACAGAATCCCTAAAGAAAGCCCAACACAGCAAAATTGAAAATGTTGCAGGCTCGGTTTGATTGAGTCTGTTCATGGACGGACATGTAGAGAGAGTAGAAATATGATTAAAAAGGACAGAAGTGTTATTCGAAAATGGAATGATATTCTTTTCAGTTATTTTTGTTGTGTAAGCGAGAAGCGTGATGCATAATTAAAGTTTATTTGATCTGTGAAATTGAGTTTATCATGCGGGACGCATGCATTTCGAAGGCGTGGTTTATGTAGCGAAAATGTATAAGTTACTTCCCCTATTTAAGTACGCACCATTTGTGTTCAACCAAACAAAGTGATCTAGAAGAAAATTATCATAAATTGTACCTGTAAATTGATATCAAATATGTTTAATGATGTTACTTGATTTGATTACCTTTTACTTTTAATTAAATAAGAGTAGTAGTTTGCAGTTATACTATTTAATGTAGAAAAGGTAAGATTATATTCATTTTGGCAATGGTTCCCGAGTCATGTAATTATGTACAAAAGTAATGCCTATTGAAAAGGTAAGCAGTAGTTGATTCAATGGAAGTTTATATTCAAGCGTTTGCAAGATATGGAAGACGATAGAGGGCGCAAGCAGTCCGAGCCAATATATAAGGAAGGCGAATGTAAGAAATTGGGAGAGCCAGCCCGCATAGCTCAATAGGTTAGAGCGCGAGACTTGTAATCTCGACATTGTGGGTTCGATTCCCGGGCTGGCCAACTAAATTTACTAATCAGTCTTTCGGATGAGACTTTAAATCGAGGTCCCGTGTATGGGTGCTTAAACACTTGGCACGCTAAAGAACCAGGAGAAGCTTCTGGAATTTGGCAACCGGTGGCGAGTATAAATAAACCCAAATACACACACACAGAAATTGGGAGTATAGGGGCCTCCGTGGCCGAGTGGTTAAGGTCGCTGACTTGAGATCACAGGTCCCTCACCGCTGTAGGTTCGATCCTCACTCGGGTCGAATTCTTTCATGTGAGGAAGCCATCCAGCTGGCTTACGGAAGGTCGGTGGTTCTACCCAGGTGCCCGCTCGTGCCTGAAATAATGCCCGGAGGGGCACCTGGGGTCTTCCTCCACCAATAAAGCTGGAAAAAAAATCTCGTCGGGACGCTCTAGGATGGCCCGACTTGAGTGTACGGTCGCCCATATGGGTTTCCGGCGGCGACCTTAAATAAACGCATTAAAAAAAAAAAAATTGGGAGTTGGTGTTTTGGCAGCGTGTTGAACAGTTGACGATCCTTAATGCTATACCTACTTTTATTATTCTTAGTAACACAGTGCATAGCGCTGTGATAAGGCTGAGAAATATCAAGTAGAAAGAAAGCAAGGATTAAAGATTAATAAAGGAAGAATAGTTTTATAAGTAGAGAAATAGAGAACGAGATAGAGGGAACGTATATATACGTATTTATTATAGGATACTAATTTTATAAATTGTTTAATAGGTATACAAATCATTATTTGTTTTTTAATTAAAAGACAAGGTAGTCTTGAGGAAAATTATATCTATATATTTAATTCAATTTGGTGATTCATGCATATTTATTAAGTAATATAAATCATTGGTCTTCAATCAAATAATCATGAGGCAAAGAAGCCAGAAGAAAATTTAGTATAAGGTATTAGGTATAAATAAGTATAAAGTATATATAAGTATAAAGGTAGCTCGGTGCACGTTACACTTTTGCCCCCTCAGGAAAAAGTCTTGGAACGTCTTTCTCCAAAAATGGCTTGAGCACTTTGTTGATATAGTACTCAGAGTTCACCTTTGTACCTTTATCGATGATCCGAATCTCCGTTTTCCCACTAAAAGACACACCAGCCCATGCCATGAAACCGCTAGCAAAAGCATCGCGTTTAACAAACTTCAATTTCTCACCAAGGTTATCCCCTTTTCTAATATAACATACCTTTTTTTCTTCGCCCATAACTTCCGCCTAAGTAAAAACTAAGTGACAAAGTTTTTCCATTGGTTGCATTTTAATTTCAGATCAAGCTTCCAAGATCTGGCCCTGCGCTTCTTAATTTGAGCCATGTTTAGTTGATGAACTTTGCACTTCTTTTCGTAATTTTGCGTTCAGAATTTTGTGATAATGTTATAATAGTTCCCTTTGACACACCCAATCTTGAAGCCATTTCTCTTTGAGTAGGCGGATTAACTTTGGCGATGAAACGGCCAACCTTCCTAATGACATCAGGTGTAGCCACCGTGGACCGTTTTGTAAATGTCCCCCCTGTAACATTCGGAGAAGTGACACTGCGTTGTAACCCTATTTGGTAGCGAATATTCCTGATGGAGCCCAAAGAAATGCTATAACTCATAGATTTAAGCTCCTTTTGAATACTTCTGTAGCTGCGGTTAGTCTTCAAAATCCCTAAAACTATACCCTCAACTTTGTCGCTAATTTTAGTACAAAACCGATAAAAAACAACAGCCACGATAAAATCGTGCATGTGTCTTACGAAGCACGGATTTCTTTTGTTCAAAAAAAAAGTTTGGCACCTCTCGTATTTGACAAAGGCTATATCGTAAACATACGAATCAATAAGCAGCTACACAACTATAGGTAGGTCTACATCATTTTTTTGTTCGTGTTATTTTTTTTTCAAATTTCATTTCTCGAAACTCTATTCATTAAATACGCTCACGCGTATTGGCGTATCGTCAGGTACGCCATTGTTATATTTTTTCTAAAATATAATTATCACATTAAAACTTCAATGTAAGATTGACTATATAACATATTTTGTATTAGTCATTTAAAGTGGGTGACCTACTATCTTAAATATGAGATATCTCTTTCACACTTCATTGTTCTAACATTGATACTGGGAAATACATGTATGTCCCAGATTGACAGGACTTTGATAGTTATGTTGAAAATCACACATAATATTTTTTGTTAACAATTATATAGCAATTTTTTCTCTATTTTCATGTCATAATTATTCTTTAAATTGTATTTCATGTAATGTTTTAGAAAATGATGTAATATATCAAAGTTCCATATTGCAAGTTAACCTGTCAGTGTTAAAAATATTGAAAATTGCCTGGAGTTAAACATTTTATAAAAAAAATGTTTATACGGTCGTACGACCGAAAATGGTCTTAACTGCGACTGACGTCGTACGACCGTGTTCATAAAACGGTCATGTGAAAATCGTAAGCTCGGTCGTAAGTATTGGTCGTAAGATAAGATCGCAGTTACGACCGTCTTTGTTGATAAAACGGCAGCCTTTATTGTTAGACCTTTGCAACACAAAACTTTAACTAATAATTACAATTTTCAAACTATACTTTAAAACAAAACGTTTAGAAAGAAAATGGCAGGATATTTAAATGACTACTAAAATCATAAATGAATAAATTTTAAATGATTTTCAACAGTCTTGTTAAGACTAGTATTTCATCTCATTTTGATCTAGATATTCTTTAAATTCTCAATTAGTATAGACATATGCTGTTAAAAACAATGCAGAAGATACATGTTTTTTATATCCTTCCTGGACACACACGGTCAGGGTTAAAGACTTCTTTTTTTTTCCCGGAAGATAAACTTCTTTATTTGAAAACACATATTACTTCCTTTTAACTACTTCTCAAAAGTATAAACTAATAAAGTTTTATATTTCAGTAAATTAAATGGCACAATGGTTAGTGTAAATTGCATATAAAATGCCTTCTCGTTGATATATTGAAATAAATGAAATTAAAATATACGAGTAGATATAAAGATAAAACAAGGTTAAGGTGTGTGTTTTTCGAAAATTATAATCACATGACTGTAACATAGACTGTATATAAACCGCTTTATGCAGATCACGCGGACACAAGTAACACACATCTCCAAAGAGGGTAGATCTAGTGATTTTTTTATTTAAAAACTTCTTTTTTTTTGGTTTACTTGTGTGTTCGAGCACATCAAGGTTTTCCTTATTTATCATTTACGGATTTAAATCGACAGGCAGACAAGGTGAGACGCGCCTTTGTCATTAACAGGTAATTTGTTACGTAATTTGTTAATAGAACTGGTTGTTTTAAAGTTATTAATTTGCAATTTCGGTGCTGTCTTAAAAGCTTAAATTACAATTCTTAGACGCCCACAAGAATTTCAGCGTTTAATATTTTTCACATGGTCGTCCGTCCGTCTGTCTGTTAGCAGTTTCGTGGGATAATTTGTTAAGATTTGACGTTGTGAACAAAGCCACAAGTCAAGAAACACCACTTTTACCCTGTTTACGTTTGTTATGTTTGTTGGAGTTTATAAAACATTATATCATCAAAACAATTGTTTCATGATTGATGTACGTGATGACAACAGTTGATATACTTTTATAGTTCGTTTTGTTTGTTTCTGTTTAAACAGAAATATGATGCTATGAAAACGATTATCAGAATAACCTCAGTGCATTTTAATTTAAATTATATTGTATTCATGTTTTATTTACATTTATTTACCAGTTTACCAGGTTGCAAAATGGCAGGCAATGAATTCCGTGATAACAAAGGACGTTTTCTACCCAATCACATGAAAGCTAACGACGCGTTACAACGTGACGTTGGTGATAGGTATCAAGTATCAGCTGATTATTTGGGCAAACCTGAAAAAGCTATAGCGCAGATCACAAAACCTAATCCGTATCAGTACGGTCACGGGCCGAAGTCAGATGTTTATAAGCACACTGGAAACCCGCCTAATCTTGTCTCAGTGAACAGAAAGTATAAAAAGTAGTAACTTTCATAGCTACTTAGAAACGCATTCTAAAGTAATATTCAGTTTATTGAACAAACTTGTTATCTGATATTAGGACAATACTTGCGTTTGAAAAGCGAAAATTCTTTAACATTGTTCCTGATTGTTTTATTAATAACCTAACTGTTGTATATCTATAAAAGTGTTTGAGTTTTAAGTATAACTATAAATATGATATTTTGATAACGATGATTATTATTCAAAATGTAACTTATAAAAGTCTGACATTTAGCAAGTCGTGTTATAAACTACCATATTCATACCGTAGAAATTATACGTATTGAAATTCAAATAACAATAGAATGTATCGCATATAAACTTGAAGCGATATGTGTTCCTTATCTATTATTATCCCAACTTTACATGATGAGATTAAAAGACATATGTAAAACACAGCATACATTTATAGATTTTTTAAGATAATTTAAATAGGCTGACTTAGTTTATAAAGGGACAACTGCACAGTCCATACTATAAAATCCTGTCTATTAGGAGATTAGGACTCTATCCCCTCATTGAAAATCATTCATTTGTGTCATTTAAGAGCGAGTATGTCTAAATTATATATTTTCTTATAACCTTCACAATAAAATAAACAAACATACAAAGGACCATCACCAAACATTTTTGTTCTGTTTTGGATTTACGTTGCACCAAACAGTATATGTCATATGGCAACTTTCCAGATTAACTGGTGCAGGAAGACCTCACGTGCATTATTTCAGGCACAATCAGGCACCTGACTAGAACCACCGACGTTTCGTAAGCTAGCTGGATAGTTACCAACGCGGTGTGAAGCCAACTACCTAGTCCATTCAGCCTTGGACGCCCCATAACAAATAACAATGAAAACGATAAAAAGAGAATACAGTGTTATGTCGGGATCCCGATAACAAAAATGTATTCCTTTTTTCCTGCTTAATTCTCGTTTTATCATGCTTTTATCGTGAATACATGGTTTACTTTTGAATAGTCATTTCGATTAAACCGCTTTAAAGTAGATCAAATTACCGCTATATCTTATGTTAATAATGTTCCGCTATAGAAAAGAGTCCAGTAACTCGCAAAAAATAAATAAATGAAAAACAAAAAGATAAAATAAAATGAAGAATAAAAATATGCTCAAATTAATTTTGTTAAAGACACATTATGCCTCATGAAATTCATGTAAGTTTATTTTTTTATAAATGTCAAACCTGTGTTTATATAATGTTTAATTAATAGATTTAGAGAATGTCACATATTTATGTACTGAAGGAAGTAGCACTGAATATGCAGTAATGTGTCTTAAAGGTATCAAAATGTAAACAAAGTAGTATATATATGCTGCCATACAAAATACTAATTCACTATAATTATACCAATCGCTGACAGAAAAAAGCAACAGGTAGCTCCTGTATATGGAAAATTAGTTTTAACAAGATACCAAAAATAATTAATAAAAATAAATAAAATTGATAGGATTTCTGAGGCATAATGAACCTTAACCATGTGACTTGCAGGAAAAAAAAATCTAATTAACATTCTAACACGACCCGCATTTTTCCCTATTGAACATAGAAGAACCGAAAGTGTGTGTTATTATGCTATAAAATCACTGTTTGACGTTCTATATTTAGACATGTGACGTAATCATTATACACGTGACGTAACCACTAAAAATGTGACGCGCTGACAATAAGCACGGAAACAAATCAGACGCAATTTAGCTAATTATCATGTACGGTAGCATTTATTTGTTGATGTCGTGTTAGAATCGAAATAATATATCCAAATCGATGATTTTATTGCTTGATAACATCACTGTTTGTCGTTCGGATGCGCATCATTATATCACTCGGGCTACGCCCTCGTGATATAATTCCCCACATCCGAACTCCAAACAGTGATGTTATTGAGCAATAAAAATTAAAATCACAGTTTGGGATATATTATTTCTTAAGCAGTGCATTAGAAATAAATGGAATACTAAATTTATTACTAATGCTCAAAAGAGACCTTGAAATTTCTGGATGTTCAGTAAATATAAACATAGAGACCGTCTTGAGATTTTGGGTCCTAATGACATACAATGTAATACGCAAGCGTCATAAATGATGTCAAACGTTTTAGTTTGACAAATTTATTTAAGCTCGATTGCGAGACAAGTTTTGCTACTTAAATCAATCACATTCGAGTCCGCTTCCTGAAACCAATCAGTACTGGTGTCATATAAAGAAACGTGGTCGTGACCCGAGAAGGGCTTGAAAATATTTTATATCATGAATGTTTCATCATTCCGCATTTAGATTTTTTATCAAGTTTAAATGTATAGCTTGTTTTTTATTGTAATATATTTAATTAACGAAAATATTATCTAACCCCAAATGGAGATAACTCCTCGATCTATACATTATAAATAATATTGATTGAAAAGCAAAAACACTGTGTTTAAAGAAAGAAGTCAAATATTTCTTCCCGTTTTGACATCTTTATGCTTTATATTTTAAAAAGCAAAGACAACAGTAGGTATGTTTTCCCTTTATCCATTCTATTTATTTTATTTAGTTTATTTATTTATTCTTTATTTTTCCTTCTACTTATTTTTTTATTTATTTATAATTTTATAACTTATTTATTTATTTATTAATTTATTTTCAAGACCCCTAGTTTTCGAAAATATTACATGTTAGTTTATTTAAGAAATAATATATCCCAAACTGTGATTTTATCGCTCAATAACATCACTGTTTGGAGTTCGGATGCGAGGAATTATGTCACAAGGGCGTAGCCCGAGTGATATAATGATGCGCATCAGGACGACAAACAGTGATGTTATCCAGCGATAATATCACCGATTTGGATATATTATTTCGATTCTAACACGACATAAACAAATAAATGCTGCCGTACCTGCTATTAAGCAAAATTGCGCCTGATTTGTTTCAGTACTTATTGTCAGCGCGTCGGATTTTATAATGGTTACGTCACATGTATAATGATTACGTCACATGTCTAAATATAGAACGTCAAACAGTGACTCTATTGCATAATAACACACACTTTCGGTTCTTCTATGTTCAATAGGGAAAAATGCGGGTCGTGTTAGAATTTCATATTACAGTAAAGACTTTAAGTCAACAAATTATTTATTTATTTTTAAAACGCGTATTATAAACTTCCTAAAGTCTGTCCCATCAAATTTGAATATTCCATTTTTTATTAAATATAATAGTTAAATCATTTAAATTAATGTCATCTTAACCCTGACGTCAATATCTCTAGGCATGTTTTTCATTTTTTTCATAAAGGCAGTAATATGGTCAAAATGTTAAAATTATATTTTTCCCCGGTCACTTACGTTGTAACCCGACGTGACGTTCATTTCAAAATGGCGGCGCCTATACAGACGTCATTTAGGGTTCGTCTCACATTTATCGTGAATTGTACTCAGTAATTACAAAAAAATATTATTCTTATTTACTTAATAGCTAAATGTTATCATTAAAAAGAAAAAATGAGAACAAAGTTGGTCTCAAAAAGGCAATTTACTAGCAAACCAGTATTTAAAATAATCAAAATCGTTTGAAGTAAAGATATCAGTAACCGCTACACAAAGATTTATATAATTACAATGGTATACTGTCGTATTTTATATTCTTTTTAAGAGAAAAAGAGCAATGAAGTGATTAGATAGCTTTTCAATCAAGCGCGTATCTTGAATACTGCAACGCGTCGTAGGAGAACGGGAACACTATCTAAAAGACTATAAAAAATGGTTCTTTGCTAATTAATGTTTAATTTACATAATTCTGTAGTTGTCTGAATTCTGTCCATTAGTGTGTATCACTATCGCTAAAACTTTCCGTAGGTTTCAACTTTCACAAGAAATCGCCAACAATACTATAATTATTATCATGCAAATCTGACAAGAAATATATAGAAAGGAGAACTGTTTCACTATACGGTGTCTACTTGAACTTACTCCCTCGCTAATGAGAGAACACAGACTCGAGTTCGAGGAAAATGTAAATTATAAGAATATAATATCATGCTTTCCAAACGTAGGCCTATATATTTTTTTTTACTTTAAGCTCGTAGATACAGATTTAACTTTAAATTTCCGTCTCACAAGTCAACAAAATGTCCAGAAATACCGGCAGTGATTTGATATTATTAAGAATAAGTTTGAATTGGAGCGTGCAATAAGCTATAAAAAGAGTGTTTTTTAGACTCAAAGTGTTACATATTATGTTAATATGAATGAGAGATCGAGACAAGGAGAAACATGATGTCTTCAATAATTTTAGTCTTCCTAAACTTCAAATTATTCAGTGAAAAAGCAATAACATTTTTTAGCGGGAGAAAAATACCGAGTATTGTATATTTTGTAGCTAAAAGAGTAGGATTTACAGAAGTCTTGAATAACGAGATAATATTTAGGGACAACATTTTTGAAATATATATAAAATAGTTTAAAAACATAAAATCAAACCAAGGTTATATGTAATTAATGGAAGAAGAATTACAGTACTGTTATAGATTCATGTCATTATAAGTGTGTTTAAAATTATCAAAAGTTTTATTTTTAATATATGACTTGAATTTTAACAGTTAAGTTGAAAAAATCTGGGTACACAAAACTTATTTTAAATGCCGTCAAGACAAATTTATCTCAACGCTTGAAATTATCTGTACGAGGTTACATATGCCTAACCGCCCTCTGCAATTGCCGCAACTGGAATCATCCATAAAAAGCGCGAGGCATTTTTGACACGTCAAATATTTCGTAATTTGTTGTTGACGTAGATAAAGTTTTTTTCGTCAGGAATGTTAACAACTAAAATTAATGGGCCGTTCTTGAATTATGGATTTGGAACATACTGAATTATGATGTGTTTCATTTACATATTTCATTTGCTAACCCAGATAATTCACAAATTGAACAATGTTTTAATAATAAGACGGACTGACAGTTTAAAAAATCTGGATCATCATATGTGTAGGAGTCATGACTCATGTCATTCAGGACTTATATAACTGAAATAAAAAATGGGATCTACGGAACTGGATAGAAACTGGCAATGAAGGAATCTTCCAAATGCGCGTTTTCACCATCGTACCATTGCGACATCGCAATTTCACCATCGTACCATCGTGTTTTCACCATCGAACCATCGTGTTTTCACCATCGTGTCATCGAACCATCGCGTTTTCACCATCGTACCATCATGCATCGCGGGTAGGGACGAAATAAAAAAATCTTGATTGTCCAAACGGAACACCGTATGATTTGGTATTATCGTCTCTCTGTATTTTGACATGTCGTCGCCCTAATTCCATAATGATGT